AGCCCTCGGGCAACGAGCTGAGTGCCGCCTGCCTGTCCCCCGGCACCTCAGCGGTGGCAGAGGGCACCACGGTCAAGCTCCAAATCAGAGCCGGAGGTGGCCGTCGTGACCTGGTGCCACACCGGCACCCTTTGCCCCTCCAGCCCGCTACGCGCCAGCCTGTGCCACCCCCTCATCCCTCCCCAGGTCCCAGACGTACAGCGCCAACGAAATCAACCTGCTGCTGACGGTAGAGGAAGGGCAGACCGTGGAGTGGATCTCCATCGACCCCGAGGCTTTCACAGGTAACACCCACCCCCCCTGACACCAGAGCGTCCCACCGCGGGGGGCACCCAGCGGGCCTGGTGCTACGGCGGTGGCTACCAAAAGCGGGGCCGTGGGGGCTATTAGCTGCTCCTGCCATTACCCGGGCACTTAAGTTATTAGCGGGAGCAGGAGTGTGGGAGAGATTTGTTTTTCTAACCCCCCCAGCTCGGGGCTCTCACCGCCTGGCAGCCGCTCTCGGAGAGCACCGCTCCTGGGAGCTTGATTGATGCTGGGAACGTAGCTGTCACGGCCAAACGATGACGTTTTCCATCACATTTTAATTGCATATTGAAGGAACAAAATGCTTTTCGGGCAGCGAGATTTATTTTTTCATTACCAGCCTGAGCTGCGATCTTGATTGGGAAAAATCTATCGCTCCCGCAGACGGCGGGGGAAAACAGCACGCTGTCACCCAGCGTCACGCCTGGCTTCCCCCCGCGGTGCCCTGGGGGCAGGGTGATGCAGGACCCCAGACCTGTAGCTAACCCCCTGGGAGCCCCCCAAGAGGCTCAAGGTGCCCTGTATGTGCCCACCTGTCCTCTCCAACAGCTTTCTGACACATTTTGCCCAGGCACCCTGGCACGCTCCAGGAGGAGCCGCATCTCCTTCCCGGAGATGAGCACCATGCCCAACCTGGGTGACCCATGGAGCCCAGGCCCATCACCAACCCTCCCCGTCCTCCCTCTCCGGGTCGGGGGGCTGGCAGCCCCGATGCCCTCGGTGGGGCAGTGGGACTCACATGACACTGCCGCATGGCAGAGAACGGCGAATGGGCCATCAAGCACCGTCCCGCTCGGAAGATCATCAATTCGGAGCAATTCACCCCAGACGACATCCAGTACCAGCAGGTCATCTTCTACCTCATCATCCAGCGCAAGCCGCTCTTCTACATCATCAACATCATTGTGCCCTGCGTCCTCATCTCTGCCATGGCCGTGCTGGTCTACTTCCTGCCCGCCAAAGGTACATGTGGGGCACAGGGATGTGCAAGGGGGGCAGCGATGGGCGAAGGAAGGGCTCGTGTCCCCTCTGTTTGGGGACCATCAGTGCCATCTCTCACTCGCTCCTGTGATAGTGGGGGAGTGGGAATTTCCAGGTGCCTCACGGTTAAAGCCTCATGGCAGGATTTGGCCAGTTCAGATTTGGGGTGAGGGTTTTTGCTTTGCCCTAATGCCCACACCACTGCCCTGTGCCAATCTCTGTCCTCCTCCCCCTTCCTTGGCAGCGGGCGGGCAGAAATGCACAGTCTCCATCAACGTCCTCCTGGCTCAGACCGTCTTCCTCTTCCTCATTGCCCAGAAGGTGCCCGAGACCTCCCAGGCTGTGCCTCTCATCGGGAAGTAAGCGATGCACGGGGACTGGGGTGCCAGCCCCGCTGTCACACCGTGCCAGGGGGGTGTCCGGGTGCTGTGCAGCAGCTAGTTCCCGGATCAGGACCCTGGCACAGAAATCACCCCAGCCCAAGCTGGGCTGTCACATTGCTACCACGTGCCCATGTCCCACTGCCAGTCCCCAGTTTCCAGGGCGCTGGGAAGGAGCTTACGTGCTTGTAGCTTGTGACCCAGCAGCCCCACGTGAGGCCCCGTGCCCCCTCCCCAGGTACCTGACCTTCCTCATGGTGGTGACGGTGGTGATCGTGGTGAACGCTGTTATCGTCCTCAACGTCTCACTGAGAACGCCCAACACTCACTCCATGTCCCAGAGAGTGCGCCAGGTACCTCTTGTCCCCCTCCAACCCCTTACACATTTGGGGAGCGAGGCCACGTCCCTTGCGGGGCAGGGTGGCGGGCATGCC